AAGCCTCACATGTTGTTGGGCTCATGAAGTGATTCCAACAAAATTTAGTGGCAGATTGTTGAATTGTGAATTTGAGGAAAGAATATTATTTTGAACTCAAAAATACAGATAGCATCCTGAATAACACGCGCACAGAAAATCTGACTCAGTGAATTGTGATATTTATTTAGACCGTGTCTCCATTTTTAGAAAATAATTTCATGCAACGGCATGAAATTGCAGTGATTGGCATTAAAAAAATGTCCGATTCCATGAAATGAAGAGAGGCGCAAAACCCGACTTGAAATTTTCCCATTTTTCGGACAATTAATTGATAACGTTACGTGAGATATTAATGAGATTACGTGCGTTTCCACAAAACATTATAATAAAGACGTATCGCGATTTTTAACGCAATATCCACTCAGCAATTTAAAACGCGGAACCCGTTTCACGGTCGTATTTCTTTCTTTCGAAATGCAAAAAATATACATGTATTCAAAAATGCCAGCAATATGCGAAGGATATTGAAACCATAGCTACAATGAAGCATGATTGTCGTAAAAGTATGATGAGACCCGTTGCATGAAATTAATTCTCAATGAAAGCCCAGGAAATATAGAGATACTGTAAATTACCATTTTATTTTTGTAAGTTTTTCTCACCATAGGAACAAGACATGAACCTCCATAGAGCTTCATGTCTTGTTTTATGAAGAAAGAAGTGAACTACAGCAGTATAGTTCTTTCTTCACAGATTCGTGCTAGCTGGATTTGTTTGTATTCATGGAACCTGAAAATAATTCTGTTCCTTTAATCTGTTGTGACACTGACAAAAGACGATGACTGAATGAATTTTTTCAAATACGGTGCACACTTTTAAAATACCAAAAAGAACTTACCTTTATATCTTAGTATGCATAAGCGAGCAGCCAAGATACTTAAGCTTCTAACATATGACGTCATGACACAATACTTTAGCGCCCTATTAAATTTCGGCGAAATTTGTCTCGTGAGACTGACTAATTCTTCAAAGTTTCAGTCATTCTTGAAGAATGGATGATGAAAGTTTGTCTTCTTCAATCTTTTTTTTTTTAGAAAAAAAACTAGAGCTGCACTCCAGCACGCATCGCAATTTCCGAAAATTAAATCACGGAATCCCTAAGTGACGATTATTCTCCAGTTCCAAAGTTTTGGCCAGTGAAATATAAGCGTCGCAACTCTTCCAGTACCACTTTACGGGAATTAATGGAATCCATACTGCGTCTTTCCACGACTTACCCCTTCAATTCGTTCATCCGTTTGCGAATAAAACTGAAATTCAAGATTTCTTCATTCAAAGGCAATTTTGGCAAGAGTGTAACTCTTCTCGGTGTCAAGAGTCAAGATATACGCGAAGACATGCTTGGAAGGACGTGAATGAAAATTCCATAATTACGTCATGAAAAACAAAGTTATCGTCTGAATAGGGAACACCAACATTTACACAAATATTATAAACCTGGTGATTTATTATGCTAACCCTTACTGCATTGATAATTCAAGTGAGGTCTTGAGATGTGGGATTAATTAATGCACAGTAGTTCTGAACTGTCCACATTTCGGAATTTTTTCATGCTGAATCACCGTTTCCCATAGACTTCAACAAAAACTATTTAATCACTTCTCATTTTTACAAAAAAAAAATTAGAAAAAGTCCTAAGAATAATTCAATAAAAACCAAAAACATTTGAAATTTTGTGTCTTTTAGGTATACGACGTAGCTCTCGAACACAAGACACAAAAGGGCTAAAGCCTATTTGCAAAAACTACTGGTAAAGATGAAGAATTGTTGATCTCCGAATAACTATCGTGGTTTTTTATGTTTCATCAGCCAAGAAATTCACGTTCAAACAAAAAAATAGCACGAGATGACCCCTGTTTTCTTTTTATCAAGGCTATATACAGTAGTTGTTAATGCGACCGACGTAATAAAAAGGTAGATATGGTATCGCTTTTTTCCCCTTCAAGTTAACCAGCTCTGGAGGTTTCAAAAGTAAAAGCGGAAAATCAGGAAACTGAAAGTCATCCTTGAATATCATTTTTGTGTGAGATCATTATTTTAGGACTTATTCTTCCAAAATACGCGTACGTATTGCACAAACTACAGAAAAGCCAACCATCAGCTGCTCCTCAATCAAATGGCATTCCCTGATCCAAGTTTCGTCCATTGAACCCCGGTCAGTCCCTTCGAATTTGAAATTATTTTTTTTAATTCCTCTAGTCATGTCCTGTGAGAAGGAAACCAAAAGCAGAGAAGCGTCACAAACCTATCTTAGCTTTGAAGCATTCCTGAAAGTTTCTTTTTTCGGTACACGTAGGCGGTAGTTATTTAATTAAACTTGGATGAAGATAGATGAAGATTTTCGCCGCTACCCTTGAAAGAAGCGATACTTTTCCTACGACAAGCAACGAGAGTAGTTTTCGTGGTAGCTCTGTCTCAGCTTATATGTCATGTTCCATACTCTCCGATTAATTAGTACCGCGCTTTTTGTGCTGGAGGCGGATTAAAGAACATATACCTTTCGCAATATTAGATAGCACTTTTTGTGCAAACATCGACGAGCGAAAAACATATTTCCTTTCTTTGCTTGTCTTTGCTTTCTTGTGAATAGCATTTTCTTCGGAAAAATTCCTTGCTCAGATTTTTTTTTAATTGACGCACTTTCAAGCAGCTCTTTTTACTGGACACGGTTTGAGATACCGGGTTGGAGAAAATACAAAATTGAAGCTCTGCTTTCTTATTATCTGATCAGACATTCAACAAATGTTTCTTGGAAAAAGTTGAAACAGGTTTTTTACGAGGAGAAGAGGCCTCGTTTCGTAAAAACTTGGTCTGGCATTTCCGCGACTTTCCGAAAGCCACAAACAATAAATCGTTTTCAGACTGTCAGTTCTTGTTTATTTGAGAATTACCGTATATATTCTTAGTCATGATACCAATGAGGAAGACGAGAACAATAGTCGCAATGGCATGATGCAGCTTTTTTTCTTGCCCTCAGAGGGAAAAATGTTTTTTTCTAGAATTTTGGCGTGCTTTCCTTGGCATCTCAGACTAAAATCGTTAGCAAGTATTTCCCTAAGTACTTTGAAAATAAGTTTTGCCCTGAATTGGCCGACATTGTCGTTGGTAACAGTTTTCTGGTAACGAATTTCCATCTAAAATTAAAATACCAAACAAAAAGGCAAGAAAAACCGCAACAGTTTATAATTAATGTCATCTCGAATTACACTTGATTATTTTAGCACTGTCCTTTGCTTGAATGATTTTTCGCGAACGACCTGAAACCTTTGTTTATGCCATCGTGCGATTTTAAAAATGTAGTCGAAAAGTATATTTAGGATCTTTCATTTACAGGAATGCTAACATCGAATGTTTCCGAATACTTCTGCATACAGTAATTCCTTTTAAAATCTAAATTTCGCGCCGAAAGGCAACAAAAAAGCTGGTGACGGTTTGATTATTGTCGTTTCGAAATATACTGTAGTTGATTCTTTCAACACTGTACTTCACTTGAATGATTTTTCGCGAAACGATCTGCAACTTTTTTTATGATGTCACCGTCGTGTGATTTTAAAAATTTACTTGAAGAGTATTTTTTAATAGGACCTTTCAATTACTGGAATTTTCCCGAATATCAAACAGGACACTCGCCCGACGTGTGGTCTGAAGTTGCTCAAACTTTCCTCCATCTAAACATTTATCTACTCTCCTTGGTAAATATTGGGAGATGTTGCAGGTACAGTAGATATATGCGCTGTCTATAACACTGACATCATTTATTGTGCAAATAGCGAAGCTCGCTCTTCGTGGCTCCAAAGAAGATGCAAAGAAGAGGAGAGAATATTCTGCACCATTGTGCAGAATATTTGGCTCAAGATTAAACATTTTTCCATACCGAAGGCACTTTCATAAAAAAATATATATACCTTCGTCTTCAGATGCACCGCATGAAAAAAATAAATCGCAAGTGTATTTTTGAAATATTCACTGCGGGAGATGCGACCGGTGACTATTTTTTGAGTGACTTCACACGTCAAAAACTACATTAGAAAACCCGTGAACTCCTTTTGAAGCATATATTCATCAAATAAAATTATTGAATTCCATTTTTAAGCATGAGTTTGAGTTACCGGCGAACATACTGATGTAAAAAAATATTCATTATTTACACACGTTTCGCAGAATTCCTTTCCGTCCTATGGAAAGAAAAGTACTTGTGTAGTTCGAAAAAGTGAATCAGCTGCAAAATCTAGATCTAGAACAATATTATTTTTGTATGAAACATGTCTCCCGTACGGGATATATTCTGAATAAATAATGTAAATTTCTTTAAACACTTATACAAATCATTAATTGATTTTTTTTAATTTATTAGCTCGACCAAAGAATAAAACCCGAAAAACTGTCAAAAATACAAAATTCAAAAGAATTTGCTCATAGAAAAAAATGTCTGCCGCATCTCAGCAACAAGTGCTTGCGCCAAAAAAAAGAAATTTAAAATGCTCGCCTTTTTTTCACGGAAAATCCTTCGAACAATGAATTCCCTAATGATCAGGAAGTGAAAGGACTATTCAAGAGTTTTTCTTCTGATGATCCCACAATGTTCTCCGGAATCTCTATAACTTGTCTGTCAATCATGGGATCCATCAAGTCCTTCCTTTTTCCATCTCGCCAGTACATATACTGTAGTGCGAAAAGCGTATATAATCGATATGCTCATAAATACCCTGATGAACAAGTTTCAAATTTTTTTTACATTTTTGTTCTAGCTGCTCGTGAATCAATCTACGCACAAAAATTGAAGATTCCCGATTATTTCTGCTTGAACTAATCATGGCGATGATAATCGAAAAGAGCTTCGGCTTATGATTAATATTCAACAAATATTTTCAAAGTTGATTTCTCCATCTTAACGTGATTCAAGTGTAGAATCATTCGGTCCATGGAAATATACAATGAAATAAATCATCTTCCGAAATATGCATTGGTTTGTCAAAAATCAAGCCTAAAACTTCAACTAATCAGTATCGATTTTTTTTCTATTCTTCGTAAATTTACCGAGGAAAGGGGGGGGGCTGTTACCGTGCCACTGATATCAAATGATCGCTTTCATCGATTTAAAATGCAATATTCTCTGTAAATGAAGACACAATTGCTTGGAAATATACAATAACACTGCAGAGCTTTTCTTTTTGCGAGCGCGAATTCTGGAAAAGTAGTAATAATTCTTCACTCCACGACAGAACGTTCCAGATTTTTTACTTTCTGCGCGCTGTAGTATTTCTGTCTCTTTTTTTCAAAAAAGAAGGAATGAAAATAATTTTTTTCAGTATTAATAGGAAATGAAAATACAGAGCTTTTCTTTTTGCGAGCAAGAATTATGGAAAAATAATTATTCTTCACTCCACGACAGAACGTTCCAGCAGGTTTTTGAATTTCTGCACGCTATTTCTGTTTCTTTTTTTTAAAGAAAGAATGAAAATAATTTTTTCAGTATCAATAGGAAATTAATACTTCGCCTTATAATAATAAAAACGCAATAAACTATCTCACAGGTCTGCACTTGTTGAAGCGTGTTGCAAACAGGAAGTTTACCTGCGGGGTGGTCTGCCCTTATGCGTCAAGATCCGGAACCTACTCAGCTGCGTCCTACCTACCTTCCTTCCGTCCTGTGTTCAAAGAAAAGAAAAGGGCGCGACAGATCGGGTCGCATTGCAAAGGGTACCCAGCAATAAGAATGACACAAGTATGATCAAACCAGATCTTCGTGGCATGTATCCTTCCAATGAGTCGATCGATGACGAAATGTGTGGTGAATAGGAATAATCTTGCGAGGAAATCCCTGGAAATGGACCGTCGATCCACTCGAAGCTTTTCGAACTATTTTCTCGGGTTGCTGACGCACGGGTACATATACAGGCTTTGGTTTTTTTTTAATGATGCAAAATCCCCTTTCGACTTGCCCACGAATCATACATTCTAATGTTTATGAATTCCATTCTTTTGATAACATTATTCATGTAGTGTTCTTTCATTCCTTGAAAGAATTGATTCGCAGGATTAATTTTGGGTATTTCGAATATAATTCTGGATAGAACTGTAAGGGATAGTCATCCCGCGACAATACAAGCTATACAAATTAATAAAATAATATTAACGCTGCGCAAAAAACCCCGCAACGGGAAATTCTGTTTGGACTACCCGATTGCGCAATTAAATCCACCTGTCCATTTTCTAGACTACTTTTTACACAGTCTGTTTGTTTGTCTCGTTGCGTGCACTTCTGTTGCTTTCATTTGTGAAATCTCTGATTGTGAATATTTTTGGAATCAACTTTGCTTGCAGTTTTTTCTCTTGAAATATACTGATTTGTTTCTCTTTTGGGATTCTGCCAAGAATCCCCTGCCCTGTTCCCTGGCAGATTGTGTTTTATATTCATTTTTCTCCCTTTTGCATCTTTGTGATCTGCCTTCCATCACAAGAACCACCGTGCAAATCAATAACCCATCATCTTTGCCATCATTTTTACAAAATATAATTTTCTCTTTTCGAAAACTGACAGCGCAGACATGATCGTTCTATTTCTTGCTATTTCATTTTTTTGTCTTCCATTCTTGATAATAGAACTATTTTCAAAATGCAATTTAATGTTCTTGCAGAATGGTTGATTATGCTAAAAAAACTGCACTGGAATTTGAAGAAGGCTTTTTAAATTTTGCATAATTCTATGCAGGTAATTATCCATCATATTATGACAGTTGCAAGTATGCTTGCCATTTGAAACAAAATATTTTAGAAAAATATGGTTTCACTCACTGAAGGCAATGAGCAAACAATTTCGGAAATAACATGGCATGGATGTACGAAAATAATACGGTACGTTTTCCAGGTGAATAATTTATTAATTGCTGTTCTTTTTTTAAAGAATATAATTGAAGTTCCCAGGGATGGAATCCTACAACGTTCCTAGTTGATTTAAGCTCGAAATTCAGTCCACAAAATGCTGAAATTTGTGTTTTTTCACTTTTTCAGTTCTTGGGAATTTTCTATCAAACGACATTCAATCTTCCATACTGTTCCTCTTTGGAAGGTAAAGTTACTTTGGCCATTTATCAGGGGACACTTGATCCCAAGAAAAATTGAAATTTCTTATCAGGAACTTGGAAAATATCTTAGAGGAATCTGTGGGGTCGTGTCCACGCGGCGTGACCCAAGCATAGCATCCTTGCTTGGGCACACCACGCAGCAACGCCAGCACACAGACCAGGAAGCGGATAGGGCACCCGGTTTGCCGCATTGCAGTAAACCGGGTCAAGAGCAAGAGATAAGAAATCTCCGGCTGTGGAAGCTGGCACCAAAGTCTTCGGGACTTTGGGAACACATTCAGATCCGAGATTGACTCCTGAGAGCTTGTGTGTGCTTACAGCGGTTGAGCTTAATTACGTCCTAGCGCGATTGTCTGTACCTCTGTGTACTTATTATCCTTCTGCGGATTTGTGTGTGTCTGGATTAAACTGCTGCTTTCTAAGGGACTCTACTAAAGAGGATCCGGCTGTTAAAGGCTGACTGACTGTGTCCATTCCTTTCTCTAATTCTTTGTCATTAATAGGCCTGACAGAATCAATGCCTGTAGTTTTCAATCAAGTTTTTTTTCCTCAAAATTTATTTTAATGCATACTGTTTTCACAACCATTGCGGTTCAACTTCAGTCAAACGCCAAAGAAAATGTGAGTTCATTTATGTAATGTACGTTTTTAAAAAAATTTTAGTCAATGGATCTTTAAAATTTTGAAATGTCTTTCTTCTGGAGAAAGAACAAGCTTCTTCGTATCCTTCTGCTTGACTTTTTCTTTGCAAAACATGCAGATTTACCACGAATTGAACTGAAGCCTGATATTATGGTTCGAGAAATATATACCCAGAATCTTCCTTGATGGTCAAAAATTGGATTGCTTGCACACCAAGAAAAGAATTTTTTTTTTCGAAAACATTTTCATTTTTATTTCGAGAGTGAGCTGGAAATAAATTTCATGGTATACCTCGCAGAAATTTTCATTTCACTCGCAGAACCGCTCAAAAAATATAGTGCACTATAAGGAATGAAACATTCATGGGATCAAAACGCAGTCATCTCGTTCTGAGAGGAACAAGTATTCTACATTTCCCCCTCTTTGTTTTTCTCTCAAGAAGGAGACTTTTTCCATTTTCTCATTTGAAGCATTTTTTACTTTTTTCCATTTTCTTTCCGAAAAAAATATTCTTCGTTTCAATCCGAAAAATGGAGGTTTATCTTGTGAAGACCCAATCTGTAAATCGGCACAGTTTTGCCCCGAGGATCAGGATCATAACCTCAGATAGTTCCAAATGATTCATGCATGAAAAACTAATTGGAAGATTTGCGTCGATCAGAGATAACACAAAAGTCCGAGCAAAACTGTTTCGTATGTATGGATTTCTTTCATTAGACTCGGAGATTACAATAATAATATTTGCATGCTATCAAAAGAAGTCAAGTTGGTTTCAATACTGGATTCATTCATTTATGTGCATGTGAGCTTGGGATAATATTGTGTATGTTGATATGTTCTGTACGGGGAAGATTTGATACACGGAAGGTTAACTTCCTATTGGTCGTGATCGGGTGCAAGCTTTTTCATCTTGGGAAGAATTCACAATTTTTTCGATTTACACAATGAGCACGCAATGCTCTCTTAGATAACTTTGGGTTAGGTCTTGTAGTTTAGCGTTTTAGTTCAAAATTTTTATACATCGAGTAAAGGTTGTTATTTAGTCCAGAGTATTTGACCTAAATATCTCTCAAAGGTGCTGATGAAGATAATATCATTCTTTCATATAAAATTATTTTCAATTGACCGCAAATCATCTTAAATTATTCCACAAAGTTTTAGCACGAAACTGTGAGTTTCAGGCATAAAAATGTAACATTTTAAAAGGCTGATAAAATTGGGTACTCTTTGGTCTCCTTTGTTCGGATCGAAGAGCTTTTGCATCTGTGAAGACTTGTTATTTTTCTCTGTGAGCGCACGCTTCATTTGACCTGTCTTATTCACTGCTTTATTCTCAAACTAACTACTTCCTCAATAACAAACTTTCCGCGGAAAATATAAGTGTGAGAGTGTCTAGGGGATTACAACGAAAGCTAGAGTGGTTAAAAGTTATACTTGAACCATATATGGTCTGGATTCTACTCTCATCTTATTATGATTGACGTTCTAGTTTCAGATTAGTTTACCTCCTTTCATTGATAGAATCATTTTCAGAGATTACGGAGATTTCAAATAAAGTCCTCAGAAACTTTATAAAAAACGGTGTCACCTGGGAATGATCGAGAAAATTTCCGAGTTGTCAGAACAGAACTAGAACACAAAACAATGAGAACCCAGAATACGGATAATCCGACATACGTACGATTTTACTTGGAGAAATTTGCATTGTCAGAAAATCTGACCTGAAATTGGGACAATATCTTGACATATGGACACTTTTCCAACATGTTTAGCAAACAGGAAAATTTTTATTTGTCAAAATTTGGATTTCTCTTCAACAATTGAGCTATTGATTTTTTTAAAGTTGTAAGGAATTTTGTTAAGAATTTACTTACATTTATGATCAAAAAAGGTTAATTTTTGCTTATTTTTTGGAGTACTGTATTCTCCATTATCTTTACACATTATAGCAAGGCATACTGGTGGTACCTCACAATTTGACCTCCTGCAATTCAACCATCACGCAATTTGACAGTCAAACTTGCTTGGATGCTGACTCACAATTTGACCTCTTTCCTGAAACTTGACCTTTTTTAGCCTATTTTCTGGTGTTTTTGTGCTGTTTGCCATTGATTTCAGTGTCTTGCAAATTTACCATTGTGCAACTTGACCATAGTTTGGCAATGGATTAGGGTTGAATTGCAAGGTACCCCTTGTACTTTTTCTTTGCTTTTTAAGGCCCTTTTGATGCCAGATCAGGCCTGTGGACATTTCTTCCACATGGTTATATTCTGTAACTTTCAATCAAGAAACAAATTGCATCTGATTTTCTGGGGGATTTCTTTATTTTTTACTGGAGAACCAATTAAATCAGTTCCTATTGAAGTCTTTGGGGAAGCATGATTTGACATGCAGACATTCCAACATAGGTACAAGGTTCAAGCATCAATTATGTCCACATGTCCCGGTCTCATTGTAATAACCTTAATGATGGTATTAGTGTTTTTTTTATTTCAGCTACTTTGAAATTTATATCATTCAACAAATAACTACAGCAGTCAAACCCTGTTAAGATGCCCCACAATAAAGTGCCACCCTTGGCAACCACCAAAAATTTCAAATGAAACAAATCTCCTCTATGTTAAATTCAATAGAAAACCTTGATAAGATGCCAACCGCCATCCGCCAGCATTAGTGATGAAAAAAAAAGTGATGTTTCCAATTAGTTTTGTCGGTATTACAATGCCAACATTGGGGTAGAATTATAATTTCTACCAAGGATCTTTTATTTGGAAGAATTAAAAAATAGTAATGATAATTTTATTGAGAATTTTGAAAAATATATTGACCTTATCTTAAAATTTGAGTAAATTGATGTAGCAAAATTTGTCTTCTGAAAGAGTAATCCATTGATCAAAGCAATACTCTTTGGAAAATTACTGAAGTTTCTATACATAACCTGTATGACTTTGGAGGAAAATCAAGTATTTTCAATCAAATAATTAAAAATAAATATTCAATAAACTTGTGCGGAATTTTCTTGCGGTCCCTCTATGAAACAAGGCACCAAATTGGAGCCAAAACTGTAATCCAATCGGCGCATCACCGGGATGCGCCAACACAAACAAAAGTTAAACCGATTCCCGCGAAAGGGGTGTCCTTAAATAAAACGCAAAACGAATTGGCCGAACAAAGACCCTTGAAGCCAAAAAAGGAGAGCAATCCCCGGAAACGGGATAAAACAAATCGCCGAAAAAGTCGGCGCCACCCTTTTGACAGGGGGACATCGACTCCTCTGAAAATTCGGGGTCATTTGACCCCTCAAGACTTCACAAAAACACAAACCAGCTGTCAAGGAAGAGACGAAAAATCTTGTCTCCTATATCGTAAAACAATTTGTCTCCCGGATTTGGGACGTCTCGAGCTGTCAAAAACTTGAGTTCAGAAATGCTTAACTGGCAACTTTATAGTTTCAACAGCTTTTGCAAACTGTCAAGACCCATGTTTTCCAGCAGAAAACTAATTTAACAAACAGTTGAAAGATTGTAAAAACATCCACCCAGTTTTCGGGAAAACACACATTTATGAAACCTTTTACGAAAACAGCAGATGCTACCACCTGGTGTTTTCAAATCTGCGCAAACAAGGAGGACCCGCCAAAATTGGTGCAAAATTCGTATATAACCCCCAGAAAATTGGGTAACAGACACAGTCAAGTTTAGAAGGTCAAACTGCTGAAGTTGTGTTCTTAAAAATTGAAATTCGGTACTTAGAAAAATTCTCCACTATCAGGGTGATCTAGAAACATCGCAAAATCGAAAGCTTCGATACTTTGCTTTTTTCCCTCAGTTTTTCAACCCTCTTTAGTCAAGACCAGTACTCATACTTCTTAATTTGTCTTCTCAAAGCTGTGTGGGAATACCTTATCAACTCGGGAACTTGAATCGGTTACAAAACTTTAATTGTAAAGGAAATCAAGTGCACTTCTGGACTACTTGAATTCCTACATCTCTGATCGTTGTTGATTGCTGTGACTCTTGTATATCTGAGTGTGTATATCTTGTATTCTGTGCAAACTGTGTGTGTGATTAACTTTGTGTGTGTGTGTGTGTGCATCAAAGAAAGGTCTGCGCTAGTAGGGAGAAATCCCAGTCAGTTCGCACCCAGCCAATTGCCGTGTTTTGATTTATTCTGCTCCTATCTAGAAATCCTTAAACTTGAAAACTCTGCTAAAACTGCAATCAAGGTGTAAGGCTTGATTAATCTAATTCTCACTTATAAAACCTTACAAAACTGCCAGCCCCTTTAAATCACCAAAATTGCTCTGGAAAAATGGTGGCATCTTGTAGGGGGTTTGACTGTATATCAAATGTTCACCCGATTTTACGCATCATTTTATCCCTCATGAATTAATTTTCCAAGAATGGAAAGTTTTGATGAATCTTCAATATCATACCAAAGCCAAGTTAGCATTGGCGACGTGTCACTATTTTAATGGCTTTTCCTCCATTCTCGTGCATTTTCAGACAAGTCAGACAAGATAAAAACACTCGTCATAAAATTTCGGATCCTTACCCGTTTAATTTAATTAATCAAGGTTTTATAGGCGTGTGCGAATTAGCCCGCCATCTTGTCACTATGATCTCTCGAGCGAGTCTGATCAGAAATGGCGGTTCTTCCAAAAACCCCTTCACAGGCTTCTTTGCAAATAACACTCACACAATCCCTCAGCCGCAATGTAAAACAACTTCAAATCCTCAACTCCGGTTATTTTGTTCTTCTACACCTGGATGTGTTCCCGGTCAGAGATAATTTTCATTTTATGAACAGTAAATAATCGTTGAAAATCATATGTGTATGCTGTACCGTCAACAGACAGGTACTTGTCGAAAGACTACGAACTCGAGTGTAAGGAAGCGTGGAATAATCCTGAAGAGTACTGGGGTCGCGCCGGGTCGAAATACGTGACCTGGTTCAAGCCGTGGGACAAAGTTTTGGACAACTCGAAGGAACCTTTCACTAAATGGTGCTTTTATATTCCAGAATCTGTTGGTCTCTGCGAAAGTCCTCGTTTTTTTTTTTAATTGATCTTGACCTGCGGACTTGACCTGCAAAAATCAATTTAAAATGGCAGCGCTAAGGAGGTTACCGAAACAATTTCTCATTTCTTCCGGTGGAGTTCAGGTTGTGAAAACTTTAGTTAGAGGAAGGGTTGTGTTCATTTGTCAGGTGAAACTAGTGGAAAAAAATTCTTTCTGTTGATTGAAAAACATATTTTTTCTTATAAAGTACTGCTTTTGTAAATCATTAATTCTGTAGTTCTGAGAATTTTTTCTACAAATAATCTCCAATTCAAAATTAAGCAATTTCCAGAACTGGTTGGGAACTTGTTCAGCAATATTTTTTAATCAATTGTTTTCTAAGGCTTTATACGTAATAACATTGAATCAACAACATCACGAATTTCAAAGGTTCGCAAATCTTTTCACAGCATAACTAACAGCCCAGCATTTTTTAATTGTGTTCTTCAACTGAAAATCAGGATACAATTTTCATTTAAACTCGAACAAACTGCAAAGGAAATTTCGCTACACTTCTTTCGCTCCAAATTATTTTAAATTCAGACGTGATCCGACAAATCGCAAATTATGGCATAATCTTCAAATTTTGAGGAATGGAATTTCTGAAAATTACTGATTTTCAATACGTTAATTGGGGTCTATTTTAATTAGGAAAAGGAATAGCTCCAACGCTGTATCTTGGAACATACGAGGGTTCTAACAAAAGTTCTTGGAATGAAAATGAAGATGGCATCTAATCGCGCTGGAAAAAAATTATTCTTTAGGGCAACCATATTCTTTGGCACAAAAGAAAAAAAGCTGCAGGAAGGGTGCCTCATCTGTTGAGTGTATTAAAATTGTCAAACTGGGCTGATTTTTTTTGTGCCGAAGAATATGGTTGCCCTAATGAATAATTTTTTTCCAGCACGTTTAGACGCCATCTTCATTTTCATTCCGAGAACTTTTGTTAGAACCCTCGTATTTCCTGATGAACGTGGAAAAGCGGGCTCTTCGTAATTTTTTTTTTTGCCGCTGAGTTCCGAAAATTCTCCGGGAAACAATTATAAACTTAGCAAAATTGATATCTTTTGAAGATAAACTTGCTTTAGTCCTATTTTTTATGTCTTATGATGCTCAAGATCTATTGTGTTTACGGTTATACACGTACGTGAGGTCGTCACTTGAGAAAGCCTAATATTGTTGGATAAGAACAAAATATCTCCTCCCTGTGGAGTTTTGATTAGGGCTCCACAAACTAGGCTAAATTAACTACGAGTACCAGCAAGAGGATAGAGAGAATTAGGGGAAGCGGAATTACTTTTCTTGTATTTTTCCGTGACTACACGGGTCAGATATAATAAGCGTCAGAAGAAATTTCCGCAATGAACAGATGACGGACGTTTTTTTTCAATTTAAATGTTATGAAAATCGTAGTAATGAACTTTTTGCATCTTTGAAAGGTTTCCAGGTGGTCAATTGAACGTATGCTATAATTGCGTTGACAAGCATGTCGAAGAGGGACACGGCGAGCAAATTGCCTTGATTCACGATTCGCCGATCACAAAGGCGCCGACTCGTTTCTTGACCTACAAGCAGCTGTTAGATGAGGTAAGCGTCTTTTTCGTGTTCCTATTTCATTTTTAAAGAAATTTGTAATGAATTCTTAAAGAAAAAAAAACGCCAGTACGTTCATCTTCTCAATACTGTGGAGTGAGACCGAGAGCGAACTTTTTCACGTGCTTATGTATTCATTTCCGCCGCCTGTTTCCTGGAAATTCCGAACATAGAGAGCATTTGAAGCAGTTTTTTAAGCTTGAAAAAATTCTTCTTTAGTAATCTTATATATAATATAGTCATATATACATATTATATCTATTATTAAATTAAATCATGTAATTATTTAAATTTCCGTCATTAGAAATTCAACATGCTAACGATCCCCGCTTCACAATCACCGTTTTCTTTCAATTTCAATGCAGCAAAGTTTACATTGCATTGCTCGGTTGAATTATTTTCAAATATAGAGACTCAACTGCATGAAATTCTTCAGTCTTATTCTAGATATTATTGATTTCTCTGGCATTTATAAAGAAAGATCGAGCATTCTTTGCATTCAGCTGTTTGTTTCGGAAACCGTTAGCACCAGAGTCGAAGAAAAATTCATTGACTTTTAGCATTCGATGTGGAATAATTTCTGAAATCCGCTACCTTGTCAGAAATTAAAAAAAATTTAATAAAAATCTTTGGTCCCACACGTTTTCATCATCTTTCAATGTTTTTTCTTCGAAGTCCCGATAATGAAAGGATTAAGTGGACTTCAAACTGTCTTCTGTGGAATTCAATCGATAATTTTTTTTTAATTAGCGGTCGAACGATTATGTACATCAGGTACTGCAAAAGCATTCATGGAAATTTCTCTTAATTGAGAACAGGTATTTTTCTGGAAGCTTCATCGACCTAGACACGTTTCTCCGATATTTTATTTTGTTTCAGACAGGAAAAAAAGAGCTTCTCTAGCGTGGAATTTTCCCAATGCCGAAATTGGTTTAACGTTCAATTCTGCATTTCCATTCCTCACACCATCATGCAATAGACATCTGATGACATCCAGCAAAAAGTGTTCTCAAACAAAAAAAAAAAAAACGAGAGGCAAATATTCAGCAAAACATGCTGGCGATCAGAAATTTTATTTCTCTAAACATACATGTAAATCCTCTTTTTTTTTCTTTTCTTCTTCGCGTCGCTGACGTTTTCTCCACGTTCGGGTGCTGGAGACCAGGTCTCTCGCCTAGCTGGTGTTTTCTCGACCCTGGGCGTCAAGACGGGCGACAGGGTTCTCATTTACATGCCCATGATGTCGGAAGCAGTTGCCGCGATGTTGGCAACAGCGAGACTAGGTGCCATTCATTCCCTGGTTTTCGGCGGCTTCGCGGCGTCCGAACTCGCCGTCCGCATTAATCACGCCTTGCCCACGCTGCTGGTGACGACGAACGCTGGCTTTGAGCCCGGGAAATCAGTGCCTTTCAAGAAACTGGTCGACATCGGGATCCGAAAATCCGGTGATGAGGGCAAAGCGAAGCTCAAACATGTCCTGGTTCTGGAACGACCCGAGGCTGAGCCAGCTCCCATGCAGGTTTTTGAGATGAAGCCATTCCATTCAGCATCCTTTGTTGGGGGCAACAAGGCCACGACAAAGGACAGTGAGAGATTAGGCACAGTCCAACGAACGATTAACCCTTCAGCAACAGAGGGTTATTTTCCTTCGTGAGGTGGTGCTAGGATTTTCACCTTTTATTTTTTTATTTTTGCTGGCTCAGTCCCAAGAATACACCATGCCCTGAATAAACAAATCAAGTGCATGCAGAAAAGAAATTCTGCAAGCAAATCAAATTTGGGAAGTGCAGTTTTGACCAGTTCAACCCTTAGATAAGGGTGGGTTGTTCTTGATCCTGCATCAGGCACACTTCTGTTTGATTGAAGGTCCCGGCCAGAATGCCAACTTTTGGAGACTTTTAAGATTGACAATTTTCAAGACTTTTCTGTTCTGCCTCTTGATTGGCATGAAAGAATAAAATTGAGGAAATAGGGCATCCACTGTTCAGAGGAAAATTTGACAGGCTTTCAGCCCTGAGATCCTGTTCTCCGAAAACCTTTGAAAAATCAGCAGGTACTGCATACTTTATCCCGGAAAGTACTCTGGTCCCTGCATATTAAACGTTATCCATTTCAAAATTAAATTTGGTATGCTTTGCGTAATTTCGCTCCATGCTCATGCAGGCAGAAAAGCTCGAAAATATTTTAAATTTCTATGTTTTAATTACGCGTGGCATTCGCTCGCAGTATTGCATTTTTTTTTTTTTTGCACAACTCAAGGGAAAAAAACATCCATGAGGAAATTGCTGCATGAAATGCTGATCTTATTGGGCATTTCGTTCGACATTTTTGATGAAATTTGCAGGATGGACGAGATGTGTATTGGTTGGAAGCGATGGACAAAGCCAAGCCACACGATTGCGTTCCTGTCGAATCAAACAGCCCTTTGTACATATTATACACCTCTGGTACAACAGGTGAGAAGCACCCAAAAATGTCTTGATAAATGAGCAAGGTGCTGTGGTAAAATCCCCCAGAGAAATCCAAAGAAATCATGTGGATTTAGAGGGGTAGAAAGTGCGGGTTTTTAACGCTAAAATCTCCAGCAGTAATTGGTGATTATTATTTCATGCTTCATTTTATCTGAGGATATGAAGGAGTGGAAAATTGATCCAAGGGAAATCAAGAATTCCAGGAAATGCTTGAAATAGACGAGCACCCATAATTCTCTAGAAATCTTGTGTGAATAGTCGACAGATGAGCTTTGGGGTTTCTATTGGATTTCCGAGCAAACTTGAGAGAAGGCTTGGATTTCAGATCGAGAAGCATTAAGTTTTGAGGCTAGAATCTTCGGAGAACATGTTTACAGCCTCAAGTTCAGGGGATCATTTCAATTTCGCTTTCCAGGAATTCGCCCAATCAGACCAAAGTACTGTAGTTTCAATCAGTGTTTCGCAATCAGCAAGCTTCTCTCCTTATTTTCTTCAAATACTGTATGTGTTCAGCATTTAGAAAAGTCGAGAATATTAAGCGTAAGAGTAAAAATAATTTTCTCTGCGAAACCGTGGAATTCGTAGTCGACCAATTTTTATTTGCTAACATCGCATAAGTTATAAATTGAGGCAAGAAATACCAGTTATTGGAATTAACTTATTTAATTAGCCTACATTAAAGAAATCTTCGTTCACATTAGCTTGAAATTTTGACTTGCCAAGGGAGCATTTAACTTTTTCGGGCATAATTTCTAAAATTAATCTCTTCACGATGAGGATAAATCGTCGTCGGCCTGACGCAAAGTTTAAGGGTAATTAATCACGAGAAAAATGTTTCCTTTTGGCAGGCGACCCCAAGGGCATCCTTAGACCCTCTGGCCCGCACGCCGTCGCTTTGCCTTGGTCCATGGACAAGATTTTCGACGCGAAACCCGGAGAACGGTGGTGGGCCGCGTCTGACCTGGGCTGGGTCGTGGGTCACTCGTACATCTGCTACGCGCCTCTGCTTCGTAGACTAACCTCTGTAGTTTACGAGGGTAAACCCGTAGGAACGCCGGATGCAGGCCAGTTTTTCAGGTAATCTTCGCCTTCCGGTCAGCATTCGATCACTTCCTTCCGGGGGGGGAGGGGGGTAAGGAAAAGTTGACTTTATTTTAGGTCGATACTCTTTTCCGCCCTCCATCAGTTGATGGGGAGGAACGAATTTCGTCTTCAACTGAAGCAGCAAATTCTTCCGGTTCTATAGAATATACGATGCACGACTTCGGCGCAATTCCTTCGCTGGAAAAAGTCGGGGGTCTTTTGAGAATTTTTTCAGTCTATGAAATATTGCGAAGTGGAACAAGCAAGAGTATAGACTTCAAAAAAGTACACACACAATTTTATCTGGAATGCAAGATGCTTTGCGTGATTTTTGCATGAATATTCTTCCCTTCACCTTCAATATTCCAAGTATCGCGAGCAATGTAACGTATGGCTTCACTCCACGGGGGCATATTTTATGAATTTTCCGGCCGTGTAAGAGCTACCAATTATTTTTTTAATAATTGAAAGATTTTGAATTGCCATGCCAGAGTGAAGAAATTTGTATAATTTTTTTTATTAGTACCTGGAATTTCAGGGTTACACTGTAATCGTGAATTTCTAATCGAAAGGTTGTTAAGCCAGGGTTCAATACAATAATTAATCTTTTAAATAGGTTTTCAGGGCAAGCGTTGTTATAGTTACTTGAAAGAATCTGCGTCTAAAATGTGGGAACCCGGAAGAAGGTAAATTTGAATGCATCGAAGAAACCTTTGAACAAAGCATCACTTGTTGTTTCCCATAAAGTATAGGAAAGGTGATTATAACAAAGCATATAATGCTGGACAGTTGATGCAATATTTCACACACAAGAATTTCAAGTATAGTATTATGAATATCAAAATTAAACTTGGAAAATGTAACTTATTTTGTCAGGTCGTAATTGAATGAACTGGACCGCTTTTTCGCGTCAAGTATACTTGGGCTAAATCGTGTTTTGTGAAGAATCGTAAGAGTCTTGCATTTAATGTATCGCGTTCCAAAAATTTCCAACGTATCAAGAAAAACTCCTTCGGGGTCATTTTTTTCATTTCAGCAAAATTAATTTTCTGAGCTAGTTATTTGTTTTACCGTGTATTTCACTCGCTCAAACCTTGGAATTATATTATGAGACACGACTGATAAATACTTAAGCAATAGGGTATGATCCATCAGCTTATCTCCTCACTGATGATGTTCAAACGTGATGAGATTTATTCCTCGAAAAAGAATACACAAAGCTGATGCTTTTACCATCTTAGTCGCCTTATGAAAACTAAACCTATATGTTGCTTGAGGATTTTTGTCGAACTTATTTCCGGTAATCAAATGTCCGGGTTCATATATTTCCGACCAACTTTGCAATCTTTATCATAGACTAACACAATCACAGATGTGGAATTTTTTCAGTTTTAGCCTTGGCATCTGAAAACTCTTCATACTCAATAGATGATTTTAGTGCAACCTTCACTTTGTGCACGAGTGAAACAATAATTTCGGAATAACTCTCTCTCTCAGAGTTTCGTGCATGTGAAATATTGACATTTTTAGATTTGTTTATTGAGATATATAATGAATTTTTTAACAATTACCCTGTTTGTAAATAACTGAAACATGCAAATGACAATAAGGTTAACTTCCTCCAATCCCTCGGTGCTTTTCGTTTTCTCACCTCTGTCTTCTTTCGATTTTATCCTGAAAGAGCACGAATTTTATGAGTGGTCGGAAAAATACTATAATTCATAATATTCAATGTAAATTGCCCTTTTCAGTCGATCTCCGACTATATATATATATACTGTACACAGTACTCCGACAAAAAGGGCAGCACAATAAGACTTTCCTAAATTTCTGAATTGCCCCTCGTGTGTCATCACAGTTGCATGGCGAGAAAAATGAGGCAGCGTCTGAGTTTTACAATCATTCTTGAATTGGGTAATTTTGTTTTGCTTGAGATTTCCCCAAAATTCATATTTTTTCTTCTGCTGGCGGCACTCATCATCGCGAAAAGGCGACGCAATTCTTGATGCTCGTTAGTGCTTCTCCTGGCTGTGCCTCTTTTTTATTTTTATTTTTTGCAAACGTCTTCTGCCGCGAAAAGTGTGCTCACATTAGCAGATATACCTTCTCCCCATTTCATGGATGACTTGTGTGCTGGGCAATAGCACTCGTTGAGTTGAATGCGTCCTACGCGTAATTCATTTCATGACGTGCGAGGAATACTCTGCTGCTCGTTGATCGAAAAATATATTTATGATGATCGTGCCTCTATTTCTTGCTCTTATTTTCGTGTACTGTATAGGGTGATTCGCGATCATGGGGTGGAGACCTTTTTTACGGCGCCAACAGCTCTGCGAGTCATCAGGAGAACCGACAAGAAGGCTGTGGAGGCGAAGAAATATAAGATACCCAGGTACTGTACCTCCTTTCCTGGGTTTCTGTCTGATAACGACAGTTTTTTCAGCCGGGGTTACATCCTTTTTTTTTTCTATAAGGAGAATAGGGTTATATGAAATCCTGATCTCTCTTCATGAGTCTTTCGAGCTGTAGTGTACTTTCCGAGTGTCCGTGTAAGGTTGGGTGTTTTTTTTTTATCTTATTCCGAGTTTGTGGAAATTGTTAACGAATGGATTTGACTGCGATGTTTTCTCAATAAAATGAAGTAAACAATAGTACACATATTTTTTTGAACAGCACATTTATATTTCATTTTTAAAATGTAGCTAATAATTTTGAAATAATGAGTTTTCTTTTAAGAACTACATGTTGAAGCTTCACAGAAAATTAAACGTTTCTGAACAGCTACTATAATGCTTAACAACTTTAATGAATTGGAAAAATGTCTGAAGGAACTTTTCCGTCAATTTCAAGCTTTAAGTTCAGAAAAATGTACCGTTCTATTTTAAATTTACCAAATACAAGATATTACACGCAGCGGTTTCTCTTCTGAATTACGTAAGCCAATCTGACGATGGATATGTGAGCAAAACACGCCTCATCTTCCAGCTAATTTTATTTGGCGTGGAAGTTGCTTTAGGCATGATGAGATTATAACTGATAGGAAACCCTTATTTACCGACGGCGTCGTTTGGTCACGAACCAACGTATATCTTTTATGATCACCACATTAGTTTCAATGTCGGTGAATGATAAAAAAATCTGGATAATACATCTTCATTTTATCCCGAAAACAAAATATACGGTGGGATTACTGTATTCATCAAAGATGTGTGTTTTCTCTGACGGAAGTTTTACCCGACGTTATAACTGATCGCTGATTTTTAATAACCTCTGCTGTTCAACGAGGTGGAGACTGAATTTTTTTTTGTTGGTAGTCTGTTGCTTGATAATTTTTTTTAGTGAAATACTTTTATCATTCTCTGCGAACACGTGACAATCTAATTCGGGTCTTGGAAAATTATGAGTTGCCCTATTTACTCATTTTTTTAGCATTGCAGAAATACACAGGAATTTACCTTTTCCGTCTTATTCATGAGAAAGGTATGAGCATTCATAAGACGTGGAATGCGATTGTATTAGATCTTGAGTCGGGTAGAGAGAGACTAATGAAATATCGCCTTTTTTCATTTTGCTGTTTTTTCCTCTTCTTGTTGTGTCTTATATAATAAGACGCATTGGAATTTGAACCCAGAACTTCTTTGTACATGTTGAGAGAAGGCCTATTTTTATGCATGGATATTTGCCTCTTGTATCTGGGTTGACTTTCAGCAAAGGGATGGTTTTGATGGTTTTTGTTTTTTGCAAGACAATTTTTCCAGTTTTACTTGATAAGTTATTTTTAAATCTTGGAAATCTGTCGTCAAAAGGAGCAATCGCATTTTTTTTTCTTTTGGTACAGTATTTTTCCGACTTCATGAGGCTTATCCTTATAAAAGAAAAGACCTAATACAGTATAAAAATTGTATTCACAAAAATTGTTATTTAGCACCATTGACTGTGAAAAGGATGACAAATTATATTCCAAAAAGGAGTTCTTGTCAAGAGGATAAAACTGTGAACAAGTATAGTATACTATAATATGTTGAAGAAAATAAAATAGGAAATCGGGAACATTTTTCCGAGACAATCCTTGAGTATGCCTTAAAACTCAAACGTTTGAAAGTCAAGGAACTCTCATTGAAAAAGTGAAATAACAACGGCGAAGACTTTTTGAAAAATATTTTTGATTTTCAAATCCAACCTATGCGTGAATAAGACTTTTTTTGTTCGAATCGAAAGTGTCAATCAAGACTCGAGGATCATGTACCCAACACACGTACAGCAGCTGCTGCTGGTGTGAATAAAGATAGACGCCGCTCGAGTTCCAAAACTAATGACAAATACGGTATATTCTTCCCTCGTGATGATTCGCTATTCTTTCTTCTTTTCTTTTTTCATTTTTTGCACGAATTTCATCATCCTCGCCCATTTTCGGAAGCCTGAAGCGGATATTCGTGGCTGGCGAACATTGTGACCAGAAAACGAGGCGCTGGTCTGAGGAAGTGTTTGGGGTGTCGGTGCTGGATCACTGGTGGCAAACGGAAACCGGACATCCGATCACGTCCCCGTGTGTGGGTCTGGGTCACTCATTCTATCCCCCCGAGGATGTTTCCGGGATGCCGGTACCAGGGTACAATGGTGAATGGAGTCCAGTTTCGATTCCTCCAGCTAGGGATATTCCATAAGTTTTCAGCCTTCGGCAATCAACATTGACACACCAAGGGTTCCTTCTTGCAGAATATATAATTACAGTGCAGTTCCTCCAAATCTTGGGTTGTTGCGAATTGATTGATGAACAATATGTTTTTAGGGTATTTAGTACTATAATTGTCCATCAATGTAATTTAAATTTTGAGCCAAAATTCCTTTAAAAAAATTGGCAGAGCTGCTGAAAAACATTTAAAAACAACAGCACAACCCTTGTTGTGCTTTTATTTTGGTTTAGTAATTGCTTTATTATGCTGCTATTCTTATTACAGTATTGATATTTTGTTTTGTGAAAAGGGAAGGGAAGAAGGTGTATGTATTTATATCAGTTGCGTGGTTGCACATTTTGGGATTTTTCTATTTTCTTTAAATATCCATGTACAGCTTGTTTCTCTGTTTTCCATTCTGGTGTGAAGCATCATGTGAATGTGGGTGGGGAAGGGGGTGGTTTGGATGTGGGAACATTACTTGAGCCTTGTGAATGCTGAAAAGTGGAAAATAGAGCTTGCTGTTCAATTCAATTCAAACAACAGCAAAAATAAAAAACATTTTATTCATAAAGTTATTTCATTAGCAGAAAAATATGTTTAGTGCTTCATTTTGTATGTTAGAAATTCACTCAGGAGCTCTTGCGGAAATACATTCAATTTTTCCTTGAAAAAAAAAACATCCTAATGGGTAAAAATTGAACAGAATCAGAAACAGTGTGATGGCAAGGAAATGATGAATTATATTTGCAAATACGAGAGGTTGTCCATAATTTAGCATAACAATTGGAAATACTGTATAAAAGTCTGATTTTATTTTACATGCCGAAGAAACTGCCATCAACTTTAACGACTCATTCAAGAAAAATTTAATATTTTCCCGAAGTAGCAGTCAACATTCAAAGGAAGCTTCTTCTTCTTAATTCTACAAAACTTTAGGGAAAAACCCTTATTCCCAGTAGTAGTGTATAAAGAGCTACTCTGAGCTGTTTACAATCATGAGCTCTCCTTATACTCGTATGAATCCCCGAATGAGTAGTTAACGTTTACGACAGCTTCTTTGTCTTAATTATTATTGGTAACGAAATTTATGGACAACCCTTTGTAATCACAAGTAGCGTCGGAAGTTCATTTCCTTGTTGTCCTTCTCTTTGACCTCGTTTTCGATGGATTCCTGTCATTCATGCGAACGTCAGCGATGCGACGATGTCGAAACGAAGCTAATTTATATCCATTGCGACGCCGGGAACAATATGCGAATGGCACCTTCTTTTGTTGCAAAAAATATGTTTTCGTCCTGCTCATATATAGTTAGTTATACTATACTATTATTCTCCATTATTGACGAGAACATTCGGATCAGCTGGGGTATACCGTTTTACTCTTACATGTAAGCTGATATTCAAGTACGCTAAAATTTTTCTACAAAAAATATTCCCTATTTTGATCTTGGAGATGACAAAAAATTGAAATTCATTGAGTAGAAGTAATTTTCTACTCCTCAGCTATAACGTAGATTTATGAAACCGAAAATATATGCGTGTCATACGCTGTTTTTTATCCCTTTATGTCTCAAAAAAACTTTTTTTTTTCGTCTTGAAATGAAAGATATTTTATTGTTTCTTTCGGCGAAATTCTAGTTCGAGGAGTTGTCTAGAATTTCTACATTATAGATCAAGATAAAGACATCGAATCACAAACTTTTTGAACATCTTGCTCATCACTGAAAATGCGTGTGAAGTCAGCTAGATGCTCTGAACCAAATGAGGAAAAATGAGATTTCGGATTTTAAATGCAAGAAATGACACGTGGAAACCTCTTGTCTGTAAATTCATTTCGCACTCATTTTTTCCCGAATCGATACGGCAGTCGAAAATATATGCTGTAATTTCACTGACTATCAAAATTAGCTTTTATCTTCAGGTCCATTTCACATTATTTTTCGGGATAATGTACATATAGTACTCATATTTGAAATACTGCGTAATTAAAGATATTCCACGACAACAACGAAACTTCCTGAAATTCTTGTGATCGAGTACAACAGCATTTAGAGGATGTTGATTGGAAAACTCGAGTACTGTATCCCAAAAAGTTTAATGCGTAGGCGCATATAGGAACCTTTTGAAATATCCCTCGTACTTCCGTTTTTTTTCCTAAATGAAACCCAAGGAAAATTCCTTCGCAGTGAAATTTTTTCCAACACGAATCCCGCGAAAACGATGCATAATGTTCGGCTCCATGGCGCTCGAATGTCCTCGCTCATGAATCTTCCACTTCTTATCCCATTTTCCAATAGCACCTTGACTTGCACAAACAAAACAAAAAAGTAATGAAAATTAATAATTAAAAATATGTATTGCCGGTTTTTCCCCCGTTCAGTGCAAGTACTGAAGAAAGACGGATCAGCAGCTGCCCCAGGCGATTTGGGCCGGATTGTGATAAAGTGCCCGCTGCCACCGGGATGTATGTCCACCCTGTACCGGGCGGATGACAGGTTCCAGAGCAACTACTTCACCCAGTATCCAGTGAGTGTCAGCTATATATCTTATTTGTTTCCCGGGAACGATTTTCGAGGAGACCGAGACAATGCTTTTCTTTTTTTATCTAACGAATGTGTGCGTGTGTGTGTTTGAGGGGCAAAGTAGGTGGTTCTTGTCCAATTGTCACATTTCTTTACGACGAATCCGCTGATCTTTCCTTTTGCATTTGCCTTAGGATAAAAAAAAAAGCCCGATTCCAAAAAATTGTTTTAAAATGTATTCCCTTACTCTTTGAATTTAAAGCTTCAGGATAAAATGTGAATGATTCGTTGAAAGGGAGTCAGTAAATTATCTTCTCGCGCAGTCAATTTTGTCCAAAATACTGTACTGTACTATATATTCTCGAGGTTTTGAAAAAAAAAATAAAATTGACCCTTGAACATCAGTTGGAGGCAAAAAATTGAAAAGAACACCCAGCAAGTGACCTAAATTGTTCGCAAATTTTTTGAAAGAAAATGTCCTGCACGAAAAAGATTTTTTTTTTTTGAGGCCCCAGCACACGTCGGATTATCCACTCAACCAAGTTTCGCAGTTTTTTTTTTCAGATACACAACGGCAGTTTGTTGTATTAACAAAAAAATGGTTGGCAGTCAGATTCGGAATGAATTTATTGTTTCTACTTATTTAGGATTTTATCGATTATTATTTTGAGGAGTTTTCAAAACATCTTTTGGCTGTGACCATGAAATTTTTCAGGGTTTCTGATTGGCTGTGACCTTGGAATCGAAAATGAGTCTGTGCGTTGCACTTACTGGGTTTTTATTTTTATTTTTTTGTGAATCAGCAGGATGAAAAGTTGTTCAATGTAATGCTCTCAAAACCCAGTTGCAGTCTTAAGGCTGAATCTGTTAGCAGTGGGATAAGATCTTAAATTAATGAGTCATGCTTGGGTCCACGACGACTCTTGAATTACATGCCTCAAACTCATATTTCAGGATTTTCTTTCGCGAACAAGATATATTATATTATATCAAAGCTACTCACTCCTATTTCGAGAGGTTTTGGGACATATTGTTACGAATGTTTAAAATCTTGAACACCCCAATGAAAGGAGAAAACTTAATTTCAATACTTTTTAAAAGCCATCGTCTTTCTTCTTTTGGATCATTGATCCAGTCCATAGAAAATATGCATCAGATGTGTCTGGAACTTTCAAAAAATGTTTTAAATTTGAGAGATTTCTTGTTCTATTTTTTCTGATGTTGGGAATTAGCCATATTTTTAATGCGCGTGAAACACATTACAGTTTACTTGAAACAATAGAGATGGATCCTTGCATCAAAAAAAAACAATGCATGAGCTTTGAATTTTTTCAAGTCTGAAGATCGGTATATTTTTTTTCGAGGTCAATCCTTGAATTTTGCGTTATTTCCCTCGTGTGGACAGCTTCTTCTCGGCCTTGTGTATTCTCTGCTGAAGTCCTGGGATGCAATTTTCGTCGCGACTAATGGATCGTGAACCCCCGCATTTATCGCAAATATATCTCTCCGCGTTTCAGGGTTACTATGACACCATGGACGCTGGGTTCATTGATCCAGACGGGTTCGTGTGCGTCATGGCCCGGGATGACGATGTCATCAACGTTGCTGGCCACCGCCTGTCCACGTCTGCAATCGAAGAGGCCATTCTGGGCCACACGGACGTCGTTGACTGCGCCGTTATCAGCGTGCCGGACAAGCTGAAAGGAGAGATTCCTGTCGGTCTTTTCGTCCTCGCTGAAGGCAATGTTTTCTTCTTTTATTTCCTAACTACAGTATTTGTATTTTATGTGAATCTTGCGTAATTGAAGAGACGATGAAAAGATGTTGGCGAGGAGAAGAGTTTTTTTCTCCCGGATCCTTGGATAATCGAGGAGAAGATATTAGCAGAGGCTTGTGGCTTTTGATGGTTTGTTGTTCAGTCCTTGAAATAAAATATGCATCAGGATTTTTAGAAAACAATAGTAGATGATATACAGTACTGTATACCATAATTACTTGAGTACCACGCGCCCTTGAGTAAGGGGTTTTTCAGTTGGAAATTTGGCTAAAATCTTATACCTGAGTAAGACACGCACCCCAATTTTTAGTGAATATAAAACCACAAAATATCGAAAATAAATTCAAAAAATTTGACTTCTAGACATGAATTGAACAAAAATTGGATCAATTTTCAACTTTTTCAGTACAAACAAGTTTTCTTGTTACATTTGTTTGAAATTTATCCTTTTTAATCAAGTATAATGCACACATAAATTCCTAAAACTTATCGAAAAATGTGTACCCGCTTATGACACGCACCCCTTTTTTTGTCTGAAATTTGAGAAAAATGGTGCGCGTGGTACTCAAGTAAATACGGTATATATGTTGATACCTGCGTTAGACAAAAACCAATAGTTCTTTTGAAGAGTGATTTCTGAAAATGTTCCCCAGGAAGTTTCTCTGAGAATGCATGCCACAATAGCTCACAAGATTCTGATTCTTCCTGCAACATGGGTGATGCTTTTATAAATTATGATCGAATATCAATGATTCCTGAGATATAATATGGAGGTTATTCCTCCTTGAGAGGATATTTTTCATGCAAAACAGGACTTGGCAAATTACCAAAGGCAGTAGAGCCTGACAAACATGGTTTCTGGTATATACAAAAATTGTTTTCAATTTTTATCAAGAGAAACATATTTAGCAAAGTTGCTCCTGAAACTAGGTTCCTCTAGACCAGATCATTCATCGAGTCGTCAAATCAAGGTAGTACCTGAATAGGTTTACCAAACAAATGACAATTAAGAGTTTTTACAAAGACTTCCTTTTGGAAACGTCTTATACACTATTGTCCAGGTTCTTATTTGATGCTTGTGATTTTCCAGAATTTATTTTTTAATACAAGTTCCAATTGTTACATTTTTTCATATATTTTGTAATTGTAATGCAAAAGCTTGTGAAATGACAGATGTTTGCTGGCCTTCAGATTGACTCCTGAAATTTTTTTAAATACTGAAAGCATTTTTCAGAGATAATTTTTCCCTTATTCCACCTTAAAATGTACTAGTGTTTATGGTACCTATGTGACACTGTGTCGAAAAAAACACTTCGATTTTTGAGGTCCCTTTGAAAAATGTTCATGGCCAGTTATTTGGAAATTTTATGAATAATTTGATGCCCTATTTACGTAAGTACAAATCTCACATGCTTCTGGAAAATAAAAGCAAAGATGTGGGTTGTGGGACTATTGGTACTGTATGTACACATTTTTCTCATGAAACCAGTTGTTCAAGTCATACATTTCAGGTTTTAGCACTGAGTCTCTGTTATTGGTGACAATAATAAACAATTACTTTGGTTTGACACAAATTCTGTTGAAACACTCGCCATTTTACTTAGAATTAGTAAATTCTTATTGTCACAAATCCTTACCGTATTTCGGGGGATTCAATTCTAAGTTTTAAAAACAAGTAATTGGGTTTACGCCTTATTTATGGATGCTTTTGAATCAAATTTCACTCAAAAAATCCAAGTGCCCAACTTACTTGGGAGCATATGGTTATGGCGTAAATGGATTATTCTAGCATAACATTTTTGGCCCAATTATAATTCTTGTTTCCCACATAAGTTCGCCTTCTGCAATTTATTATGTTTCTGCAGGTCATTTCTGAGCACTTATTGATGCTATTCCAAGGCCATCGATGATCCCGAGGATCACGAAAACACGTTTGTGACATCCTTAATTTGGAGTGAAATACTATATTCTGTGTGAAGGTCTTTTAAAAATTTGGATTGGGCGGGAATCATAATAAAATATTTATTCATTACTTTAAGGGAACCTTCGTATGTGCTTTAAAACTTTCGGAATTACAATTTCGGGGAAGATCCAAAGCATGATAAACGGATACCCTGTCGCCTTCCTGTAATAAGTCCTAGATGCTTGTTCGAAATTGCGGAAAGTTTACAGAATAACATGGATCTCGAATTGTTACTGATACAATATTCCCGGGAATTCACGGTCACGGATTTCATTCTGCTGAGCCAAAGAAGCTTTCGCACTTCCTCTTTTTGCTAAACTGCGCAGATGAAAGACAAAAGTGCCACTTGAAAGCGATTTGATGCTTGACTTTCCGGATTTCCGAGGATGAGTTGAAGTTCAGCACCAACATTTCCCACTAATGCAACGAGGTCGAAATGAAGTACTGTACTTGAAGGTTTCCTGTTTTTGTTTTTTCAAGCTCCGGTACAATCAACCTTAAACTTCTTCATGTGAGATAAAAGCATCCGTAACCCAGGGACATTCCTGGTATCCGGGAATCAGAATTTCCTAGAACTGAGAGACCACGTGGGCGCTTTCTTCAATCACCACAGCATCATAAAATCATTGTTACCTCTTCATTTTATTCGAAATGCAGTTCTATTCTTGGTTCAGTTGAGGACGTGCGTCTGAAGGAATTTTTCATGACTTATAAATAGCGAAAGAATTGCTCCTTTTGAATATTCTGAATGCAGCTAAATTTCTCTCAGTGAAACATTTCAAAAGGCCGGGGTTTTTTTTTTTTGCATGAAGGAAGCGGAATTTAAATTGGATTCCCAATAACTTAATCTTATTGTCTGTTCTGCGTTCCGGGAAACGCATTGCAGCAATTCGAGCAGATGATTTTTTCTTCTCAGAAAAAAAAAACTTGAATGAAGTCGCTGGAAAAGGGAAAATCGAGGGAAAATCGCAGAAATATTCTCGGACTTGAATAAAGTCGTCTGAGCAGATGTTTTTTCTTCTCAGAAAAAATCATCTACTCAGACGACTTTATTCAAGTTTTTTTTCTGAGAAGAAAAAATCATCTGCTCAGACGACTTTATTCAAGTCCGAGAATATTTCTGCGATTTTCCCTCGAGTCGATGCATTACAAATTATTTAATACAAATACAGTTTTAAATTATCGACTGAACGATTTGTGAAAACGACTCAATGGACTAATGCAGTTCTGGGTATAGGACGAAGATTCGGATATGCATGATTTCGCTTCTTCTTCAACAACAATTGATTCCAGAAAAATCGTTGAAGTTGTTTCCAACATTTATGCTAAGAAGAAATTAAAATTTTGGACACATCAATGCGTCGAATGCTTTTCATCGTACATTTGCGAACTTGACGTAAAATGTTCACAAATTATTCTTAGTGAATCGACTATCACTGTATGCAGTATATTATGAATTAATGATACGATCACAGTGAGACCCCAAGATGCATTCACAATTGGTGCATGCTCAAAAAATGTTTTGAAAAATTTTCCCTCAACTTCAAATTGTAGAACACAACCGTGCAGGAAAAAACCGTAAAGAACCTGATCTTTTGTTATCAAAAGGATATCAAAAAATAAAGAAAAAGAATGTCTTGCCAGAATATTCACAGATGATAGAAAAAAACTCTGAAACAATAAGCACAAAACCAGCTCGCTTGTGATCAAATTAGAGTGAATTCATCATAAAGGCTTTTTTCAATTTTTTTTTAACATAAATAGCTTGATTTTTCTAAATTATATTGAAAAAAATGTTTCAATTTTTGGGGGGAATTTCAGAAGAGTGCCTTAAACTCAAGTCAATGTCTGGATGTTGGTCCTGGTTTTTTTTGTTTTCAAGTGTCACTTAGTCGAATTGTCCATATGCTGGGGTGTCCTCATATTGGAGTCTCACTGTATGCTCATGTACTGTATACAGATGCATTCATTATTACTGACTCCAAAGAATAATCTGCTGTATTTTCTAACTGAAAGTTAGTAGAAAAGTTTCTGAAAATATTCAGGATCTTGGAATATAGGATTCGGACAAATTGAAAAAATCCCAGGATTTTCTTTCAACACTAATCTGAAAGAAAAATTTAGTCCTACTTCAGCATGCAAATACAATAATTCTTACATTGGGATGCTAAATTCTTCTATCTAATATTATATGCATTGAAAATTAAATTTTCTGAAGACCCATCCATCAATTTTCAAATGCATCTTCCTCCTACTTTTTTGACTCTAGAATTAAATTGCTCCTACTTGATTTGCAGTCGTCTAAATCATCAAAATTTCTCCGAAAAACCGTTCCCAATTTGAAACCGTTCGAATAAATATTTTCAACTTACTGTATATTCATGAATATTATTGCTCTCGTCATCTGAACGTTTATAATCGATCCCGATTTTGATCCAGAAGTTAATTTTTGATGCGAAAAATGATGATGCAAGAGGTATTATAAAATTGGGGAATCTTTCTAGCTTAGAGATGCACTTAGAACCCAAAGATGGACTCGTGCATTTATCGATCCGGAAGAGAAGGGATCAGACTCTATACAGGACTTCTCGGCAAAATATTGAGCTTGGATTTGTTTCCCACCTAGGTTGTCAAAGACCCGAAGAAGCAGTGGAAGCGGATCTTGTGAAACTTGTCCGGAAACTCGTGGGTCCTGTTGCTGCGTACCGGATTTCGATTCGGGTTCGGGCTCTGCCGCGAACCCGATCCGGGAAAACAGCGCGGAAAAGCATTGCTGATATTGCAAGAAACCGACAGATCAAGGTACTTTAACTGTTGCCAATTTTTTATTGCGAATTGTATTTTCCGAATGCAAATTTTTTTTATTACTGAAAAGGCTAGGTTCGAAATTATATTGATCAGCTTCGCTAATCGAACTATTTGGCAGCCCAACGCTTCTTTTCTTACTTTTTTT